TGCGTTTAAGTTTATGAAATTTTAATGCAAAGTGAAGCAAAAACGAGATTAGAAAGTAGCGCGATTTAATTAGGAAAGTTAATGAACCTAAATAATTTGCATAAATATGTTGGTTGAAACATTATTACTTTCAGAGTTTATATATATGGTAATAATAATGAAGAGTGTAATGCTTATGCATTGTTACATACAAAAGAATTAACAAAATACAAGCGCATTTCCTAAGCAGTTGGCCAGATGGTTAGGGCGCTCGACTCGCAATCTGAGGGTCGCGGATTCAAATCCCCGTCACACCAAACATGCTCGCCCTTTCAACCGTGGGGACGTTATAATGTGACGGTCAATCCCACTATTCGTTGGTAAAAGAGTAGCCCAAGAGTCGGTGATGGGTAGTGATGACTAGCTGCCTTCCCTCTAGTCTTACACTGCTAAATTAGGGACGGCTAGCGCAGATAGCCCTCGTGTAGCTTTGTGCGAAATTCAAAACAAACATCCTAAGCAGTTTTTCCACACAGTATAAAATGTTACAATTATAACGAGTGCATGTGGAATATATTCCAGTACTTTCTTTTCCAATAAACTAGAAGAAATAAAGAAAAACTGGCACATTTGTCGTGTGTAGTTTATTTACTTTATTTTGTTTTACTTAGGAAAGCGACCCAACTCCGTGTGTTTATACCTGAGACTCATTTTCGTGTGTATATTTCACTCTACTCAAGAGAGTGATCAGTTGCATGTGTTTATTTACTGTGTTCCTTTGTGCTTCAGAAAGTGATTTAGTTTTGTTTCGAAACCCATCACAGAACATGCTCGCCTTGTCAGTCGTAGGGACGTTATAACGTGAGGGTCAATCCCACTTTTTGTTAGTAAAAAGTAACCCAAGAGTTGGCGATGGGTGACGTTAACTAGCTATCTTCCCTCTTGTCTATACGTCACTTCAAAATTAGAGACGGCTAGCGAAGATAGCCCTGAAGTAGTTTTGCGCGATATTCAATGAAAACTCAACAGACTTGTCTGTTTATGAACTATGTTTTTTGTACTTAGAAATATGATTCAGTTCTGTGTGTTTAATTATTATGTTTTTTGTACTTTGAAAAATTATTATTTTGTCTGTTTATTTAATATTTTTCGTTGTACGTGAGAAAGCGATTCACTTCGATATGTTTCTCTATACCTAAGTGAGTAATTCAGTTTCGTTGTAATTAGTCAAGGCAATTTTACTTTGTATTTGAGCGATAACAAGCACATGGCGTGAGTTTTCTGTATTTGATTTCCAATAGGATAGTTTCATCCACTTATCATGTAACGTTGTATAAAAAAGAAGCACGTGGTTCCAGTACGTTATCAAATCATTAAAATTAACTGTGTGCGAATGCTTTTGATTCCATTTCTATGTAATTCTTTAATGAGGTTTCAAATTCTAATTTATTTTGTTCATTAATAAATCCAGCGAAACGTCGTTTCTTATATTCTATTGCACAAGCCTAGAGATTTAGTTTCATGGCTTTATTTAAATACATCATCATAACAGATTTGGTATCCGCTTTTTGTAGTATCCGTTAATGCTGAAAATATAAAAAATATTACTTTGAAAGTGCTGAACACCAACGAAGAACCGGAGTAACTCATAAAAACTGGTTACTTCAGTTGGAAACCGGGCGGACTGAAACCATATTTACAAGTACATTAAGATTTATTCTAACCCTCTTTTCTAACACTACCAGCAACTGCGCAGCATCTCCATACTTAAAACCAAGGGATGCTTCCGACCCCTAGTTCCCACGCCTTTATTTGAATCTTTGTTGCTTGTAAGAAGCGTTTACATATCTGTAGACATCACACGTCCTTAACATGGGGAACAAACAACATGTTAACAAGTCTGTAGATGTTATACTTCGTTAAGTTAGATAACAACCAATCTTTCAAGTCTGTAGGTTTTATACTTCATTAACTTAAGTAACAACCAAACTTCCAAGTCTGTAGGTGTTAAACTTCATTAACTTAGGTAACATCCAATCTCCCAAGTCTGTAGGTTTTATACTCCATTAACTTAACTAACAACCAAACTTCCAAATCTGTGGGTGTTATACTTCATTAACTTAGGTAACAACCAAACTCCCAAATCTGTGGGTGTTATACTTCATTAACTTAAGTAACAACCAAACTCCCAAATCTGTGGGTGTTATACTTCATCAACTTATGTAACAACCAAACTCCCAAGTCTGTAGGTGTTATACTTTGTTAACTTTGGAAATATGAGGTTAACAAATAAACAATCTCTCTAGTCTGTAGGTATAATACAGTATTGGCCAAAATGTTTGCATATTTTATAACAAATAAGGTCATTATTATTAAGATGGAATAAAACTACACTTAATGCTGTTAAACTAAAAAATGCATGTTATATTAAACAAACACATATATAATTTGTATAATGAGACAGGTTCTATGGACATCATGAACGAGTTATAAGAACAGCAAACAATCTTATCAGACACTTGTAGAAAGATGTGTAGTTCAGCATTTCACCTATCACAACAAAACCTTACTGAAACATATATATATTACAAATAGCGTCTGTAACGTTATATCAGTTCATATTAAACATTCAGTACTTGGTTGGTCCTTCTTGTAC